TCATCGGATTTACAAGCTCTGGCTAAATCTTTTGAACCTCCAGCTTGAACCATGAGATTGACCACATCCTGGCCCTTTAAAGAGGAGGCCACATGAGAACCAAGAGGGACACTTCCACTCGACCCGTCGTTCTTCTTAGATCATTTCAAGAATCTTGTGGCTATCGACTCCTTAATCTTCTTACTCCTCTCGTTCTTCTTCATCGTTTCGCCGATCTCCTGTTTAACCTTCATAAGCCGGACACCGGAAGAAGAAATTTCAGTGTCTCCGGTACCTTCCTTAGGTCGCGCCATGTTAACCGAGAAAGGAGCCGAAGGATAGAATGAGAGCGAAAAAGAGATTCGGATTGAAACTAAAACTTTCGAATCAGAGGGTTCCAGAGAATCGTGACGAAAACAAGAAAAAAAAAAAAATCTAACCGCTATAAGTTAAAGGAGGAAATTGAACAGTTACCTGGGAAACCGAATCAAGGCGTGGAGTAGTGGTGAAAGCTGCAGTTAATGACTACAGCTTTATATCACATCGTGTCTCAAAAATCGGGGATGAAACTGTTCAAAAATATTAACGCGAGCCGTAGATCTTACCAAACGAAATCGGGACCGCTCGATTAAGGTCACGCGTATCTTCAAGTTTAATATAAAATAATCGTTATCTCAACGGAAGAGGTAGATATCAAGCGGTAAAGCTTTAGCTTCCGAGAAAAGAGGTCTCATCTCGAAAGCTGGGGGCAACTGTTGGGCCCAAATATGACCCGTTAGCTGAAGTTGACAGGCCTGAATAAAAGTAACCGATAACGGGCTCTTATAAAGCCCATTAGCAATTACATCTCGAGAAAAGAGTTAGAAAGAAGCCGGAGGCTGTTTGCTAAGGAAAGAACGCCACCAAAACAGGTCACGGAGGAGAGTTCCGGACCTCAGTTGCAAAGAGCTAACGGGAGTAGCTCAGGCTGGTTGCGCAGGACCCGGTCAAAAGGAGGCTGTTGAGAATCCCCCAACTCACGGAGCAAATCTCGGAGGTTGGTTAGGATCAGTCAAACGTGGCTTGAGGCTATTTAAAGAGGAGCAAGATGAAGAAGAAGAAGAGGACTCTTCGGAACTCATTTTTTAGACCAAAAGACTTAGACACTTTTCCTTCATTGTAGTCATCTCAATTCGTCATTCGTACTTCTGATCATCAAGTTCATCTTTGTAAACTCATTTTCTTATCAAAATCAATATAAACAAACGTATTCATTCACACAAGTTCTAACAGGATTCAGCCCACGATTGTCGTTTCCCCAATCTAAACCTAAACTAAACTAGAGAGTGAGTTTTACCCCTCACAGCGGCCATCAAACTAGTAGCTGAACCGGAGGTCAATCCAACACCTTACCAGACCAGCCAAAGCGCTTACCAGGACACATGCGCACCAACAATGACATATATTTCAAACCAGGAGGTTTTTAACCATAAAACCTATTTTCATGGATTATACACTCAAGACGGAGTCCATCCAAATTGAAAATATCCCAAAATCTATCCGGAGAAAGAAGATATCAGTTTTACAAACCGGAGGTTCTACAGCCCATCCATCTGCGAGTATCAGGCTTTAGAAGGAGATTCCAACCCAACCATGAAGCGGCTTTCTCCAGAACTAATCATGGGATTCAAGAGGGATTTATCGTATTGTTGACATAATCAAATCAATGCAAGACTTTAGAAAAACTTTAGTTTATCAAAGCCAACATAAAACGCCTTATATAGGTTTTAGAGACGGTACTTATAATAACCTAACTCTATTAGAAATAGAAATATAATTAAAGGAAATCATAGATAGAAAATGAAATCTTTAAAAAGCCAAAATAGGGAAACAATTGCTTGACGGTGAAAGTATCATGATGCTATATCATACGCGCATCCCATCGCTTCTATGAATAAAAAAAACTAGGTGACTCACCCGCACCTTGTGCGGGAATAAAAATGGGCAAAATTAACATTGACATGCTTTGATCACATGTAGTGTACAAAAACAAAGGCTGAATATCAACATTAACATTGTTTGTAGGTATTACTTTTGTTGTAGTATTAACAGTTCAATCTATATTCATAACTGATACATTGATAGTCATAATGGTAATGAAAGTCCCAACCAGTTCCTAAATGACAATATGTCAAAAATCTTCGTCAGAATGTTAGCAAAAAGAATCTTATCATGTTGCCTGGATAAAACAATGAAAAATTTAGTTCATATACGTCAGTAATATTAATGATATCTCTATTGATATTAATGTAGATATTACAAAACATCCAAAAAAAGATGATGTAGTAATATTAATGACATCTCTATTGATTAACAACTCCTTAAGAACAAAACATCCAGAAAAAGATGATGTAGTAGTAAGGGTGTTCAATCTGGATTTTGGTTCGGTTTCTGTTTAATTTTTTGATTTTTCAGCATTTTGGTTTATAAAAAAAACTACCATATTAAAACCATACAGACTTTGTTTGGGTTCGGTATATATGTCGTTGGTTTTCGGTTCTTTCAGTTTTACACCAAAAAACCATAAATATATTTATCTTTTATAACATTTTGTGAATTTTACTTAATATGATTAAATACCAACTTTAATAAAACAGAAAAAAAAATCAGTTTTAAAATAGACTATTTTTATTTTATTTTTATTTAACTATTTTAAATAATTAATAAACATATTAAGTTAATAATAAAAACAATTTTCAGAAATAAAATAGGAAAAATAGCAAAATATCATTATATTATTAAATAACTAAATATTAGCACACATATTTGTCAACGAAAAAAGTAAAACTTGTTTTGTATAATCTGATAAAAATGAAAAAATAACTTTTAACTTAAAAAAATAATATCAAATACTACATCAAATTTTTAAGTATCATGACCATGCATGACCGTTGTCCAGATCGTCTTCATATTTTTGATCAGAATTGATTCAATTAAAGCATGAATTCTTGTCACATGTTTAAACATTATAAGGTTTTTGTGGATCAGTTAAAAAAAAAAAATACCATGCAAATATTTAGTAGAATTAGTAGCTATCAAAAACATTGCAATTCAAAATATATTTAAGGAAAAAAACTAAATCTTCGTAAAAATGACTTTGCCATTTAAAATTTGAATTAGTAATAATAACTATCTACTTTCTTATCGATGGAACCATTTTAGTGATATTTTCTGGTTTCTTTGGTAAAATTCATCCACAAGTGAATGATTTTAACTTCGATACGCCATGTTTCTTTAAATGATTTTTAAGTCTTTAGCATAAGAGAAAAAAACACATTTTTGTATGTCTAACCATATATATCAAAAGAGAGAGATATTTGTATGATAAAATCTTGGTGCCCAGAATTATACATTTAGAACTCTGATGTTCTCTTTTATTTTTTTACATCAAAATATTAATCAATTACTCAAACTTGAGATGGTTGAAGAATTCAGACCGGAATAGAACAATTAATAAAAACTAATTTTCTATAGAAAGCTCAAGCCGTCTTGGACAATCTATCTGTTATCCGGTTATGGAGCCACTAAAGTGGCTTCTCATTAATGGGGGTGATTGGTTGAACTGTAGATTTAAAAATTTTATTGTAGAATTTAGACTGTAGATGTTTTGATGTAGTTGTATCTAATGTAGCTGTAGAAATTAAATGAAAAAAAATACAAAATGAAAGATATTCCTACAACAATCCTACAACAATATTTTTTTTTGCTTTAGAAAATAGGGTTTCTACAACCACTTTTCCATTTTTTTGACTTTAGCTTTAAGAACTACTTAAAGCATGATTGGTGATTTAAATAATTAATAGAAATTAAAGCTAAAGTCATTACTTACAACCCAACCAATCACCCTCATTGTAAATATGATATTTTAAATATAAAAAATACTCTAATCATTTATAAATATGATAACTCAACTATAATATCACATTGTCAATTACAATGATTGAAATTTTTTAAAATTATATATTTGATTGTTTTACATTCATTTGATGGATTTTTATAATATATGTATACAGTGAATAGAAATATTATTAGTTCTATTTATTAGTTTTCTGTAATCTATGATTTATTGTATACACTATAAATATAATATTTTTAAAATTGTTTATGTAGTATCATATGTATTTATATTATAAATTTATATAACGTAATCTATGATAATCAATGGTTTCAACAAAAAAAAATTTATGTTAATTCATTTAAATTTAAGATGTTTGATTGTTTATTTGATAACATTTATTATATTGGGTAACTCTATGATTAGTTTCCTTTTAAAAACTTGATTTAAATAAAAATTCAAAAACCAACAACCAATCAAATTAAGAGAATTAATTCTAAATTTCATCTATGAGTGACACCTAAGCAAAAATCATTAAAGTGAATTCTCATTTAATATATAGTAGGATATGAAAAATGATAAATGATCTTATTGACTGAAACTCTTAATATGTTCTCTTTGGTTCATAAAAATATTTGCTGAACTCTATTCTTTAGGCTAAATCTGAATATGTTGTTTCGAATCTCATGGTGTTCAAAATTCTGGTTGAAACTTGGCTTCGTAATCTGTGTATTTCCTAATATTTTATTTGTCAGTAAAAAATAGATTAAAAATACTTATATACCACTTCGTGTAACTGAGCAACAATGTAACAGCTCATTTGTAAGTGTTTGTTATTATGATCTTCAGCAAAATTTAGTAGCATTTTTCACTAACAAAAAGTTGTTGAGAAGATAATTATAAAAGTATATTTTCGAGGATTTTAGTTTTGATATCTTCACAAGATTTGGAAATGATTCTTACAACTGAGATATTCTACGAATATCTCATATATTCTCATAAATTTATATTTCAAAATTGATTTTCTTGGAACAAAATCTTCAACAGAATTCACCTAGAATATACCTCGATTTTTCATCTATATAATGATCAATCACATTATGCAAACATATGTAAAGCACACGAGATATAAAACTTTGCAAAAAAAAAAAAAATCAACATGCGGTTGATACGCTTAGGCCTAGTTTTCTCCGTAGTCACGTTGCTAAGTATCTTCACCGTGAGCCATGCGGGAGTCACCGGTAAGTACACAAGAGTAGCTGAACCTTCCGAAGAGATGCCACTCGAAACCTTTCCTCCTCCTGCCGGCTTAAACGCTCCTGAACAAGTACTCTCCAATTGTTCTTTATCAAATCAATTTTTTTTACATGTATATAACTTGATACTACGAAAAATATTTACCCCTTTTCAGGTCCATATAACGCAGGGAGATCACAGTGGTCGAGGCATGATAATCTCGTGGGTAACACCAACAAATGATGATGGCTCTAATGTCGTTAACTACTGGATCGCGGATACTGACGGGAGTACAAAGCAAAGCGCTGAAGCGTCAACGTCTTCATATACATACTATGACTACACCTCTGGTTTTCTTCACCACGCCACCATTAAAGAGCTTGAGGTTCGTACATATTTTATTTTCGCTAAATAGTCTTCAAATAGGGAGATTAATTGGATTAACATTTTCCCTCTTCCCTGTGTAGTACGAAACTAAGTATTTTTACGAGCTTGGAACCGGTCGCTCTACTAGACAGTTCAACTTCATGACTCCTCCGAAGACTGGTCCTGATGTTCCCTACACATTTGGTGTCATTGGTAATTCACATATTCATAATTTTAACAATTTCTGGATACGCATTTAGTCTCACAATTCTTAGCTTTGTTAGACCAAATCTAGTGGAAGTATCTAGATTATCTTCACTCTTTTAGAAAAAAATAAATGAGAGAGAATGAGATAGTATCTCGAGATAAAATCTATAGGAGATTTCATGAAAACCTCTAACAAACTCAATTCCTAAATGTGTGTTTGTAAATGGTCTGATATTATCTAAATAGTTAAATTTAATTGTTTAATTATGTCACATTAAAATATTTATTATTTTAAATTTATACGGAGATACTCCCAACTAAGAGGAAGCTCATCCCTAAAAATTCTCAATATGAATTCTCCGCAAAGAAATATTCATATTTTAAGTTACTGATTTGTTTGATACTTTTAAAAAGTTGAAATACCTAAAATTCTGCATGTTGCATTTGAGTTTATCTTTTCTATCTGTTTTAATACATAATACCCAAAAACTATCTCTCATTGGAAACACTCTAAGGTTTCTCAATATTTTGTAGGGGATCTTGGACAGACCTATGCCTCTAACCAGACATTGTACCATTACATGTCGAACCCTAAAGGCCAAGCGGTTCTTTTTGTTGGAGACTTGTCGTACGCTGATGACCACCCAAACCATGACCAAAGAAAATGGGATTCTTATGGCCGATTTGTGGAACCAAGTGCCGCATATCAGCCTTGGATCTGGGCTGCAGGGAACCATGAGATAGATTACGCCCCTTCGATAGTAAGATCCGATATATCTTTCCATAAAAGAAAATATATATTCTTACGTTTTTAGCATTAAAACCATGTAATGCCTTTGCAGGGTGAGACTCAGGCCTTCAAGCCATACAAAAACCGTTACCATGTTCCCTACAGAGCCTCTAAGAGCACTTCTCCGCTTTGGTACTCAATCAAACGAGCCTCAGCTTATATCATTGTACTCTCCTCTTACTCAGCTTTTGGTAAAGATCTAAACCTTTCACACTCTACAATATTACAATCTGTTTTTACAATCTAATGGTTTTCTTTTGTAACACATTACCGCAGACAAGTACACACCGCAAAACTCTTGGCTGGAGAGTGAGCTCAAAAAAGTAAATAGAGAGGAGACTCCATGGTTGATTGTTCTTGTCCACTCGCCGTGGTACAACAGCAACGGTTATCACTATATGGAAGGTGAAAGCATGAGAGTCACGTTCGAGCCATGGTTCGTGCAAAACAAAGTTGATATTGTCTTCGCTGGACATGTTCATGCCTACGAGCGATCAGAACGTGTCTCCAACATTAAGTACAATATCACTGATGGTTTGAGTTCTCCCGTGAAAAATCCATCTGCTCCGATTTACATCACCATTGGCGATGGAGGCAACATAGAAGGAATCGCTAACGAGTAAGAAAAAGAACCTTATAAGTCTTCCGTTTAAGTCTTTCCCTTTGGTTGCTTTGAAGCATATGTTTTTCATGCAGTTACACGTACCCGCAACCCAGTTACTCAGCGTATAGGGAGGCAAGTTTCGGACATGCTCTTCTAGAGATAAAGAACAGGACTCACGCGCTTTACACTTGGCATAGAAATCAAGATGACGAGCCGGTTATTGCCGACTCTCTATGGGTAAAGAACAGACACTTCTTACCGGAAGAGGAGGAGACACTTTCCGACTAATCGAGTGTCTGATGTGATTCGTTTTTCAGTTTTATATTTTTTGTACTCGTTTTAATAAAAAGATTAGCTAGTTAGAATTTTAGTGTTATTTGTTCTTTCGTAATTTTTTAAGTTTTCTTTCAGAATTTTATCTTCTGGTTTGGTTGGATTTATTTAGCTCATTAAATGATAATACGTTCAACATGGTACATCACTTCCGATATTTACTACTATAAATTATCAGATAATCAACATAAAATTCTGGTATATAACTTATAGGATAACCACACAATATAACTATATATAAAAACACTATAATTAACTTACTTGAGAAAACAACTCCACAATATATTACTCATAATTTAAACAAAGAGATTCAGTATACTCCAAATATTGTTAAGATTTTATCGAGAGATTACTGCTAAAATCAAAAGACTCTGATTTGCTTTGGTTTTTACCTTTTAGATAGATAGAAGTTAGTTGGTCATCTGAAACTAAGAAAGGACTTGTTGGACTACACATTATTTTGTACTAGTATTTTGTCCGCCCCATTGCGCGGGTGGTTAGTTTCTATATATATATATATTGCAAAATAAAATCAAACTAGATAATAACCCGCACCTTGCGCGGATTGATATTATTATTTTGTTACTTTTAAGATAAAAATGATATTATATTTGTTTAGCATGGATATTGGTTCAGTTTTACGTTGTTTTTAATGTCCTAAAATATAACTATCATTCTAATATGTATTTATTTTGGTTTGTTTGGTTTAAATGTTTGATGTTTTTAATTTTTTCGATGATAACCAAAAACTATTGTTATTTGTTTGGTTTCGTTTTATATAAATTTTAGACATTTTTGATGTCGAACTAATAGTTTCCTATTATAATTTCTAAATACATGTAAAATCAAATAAAATCTATATAATATTTGAAGAAAAAAAAAATTATTAACACAAAAAATTTCACTACAATTTGAGCGATAGTGAAAGAAAACATTAAAAAAAAATTCAACTTCAATAAGAATTAAAATTCTCACTTGTGGTGAGTATTTAGACGTTATATAGTCGCTCATGTCAATGTGTACATATATGTATATGTAAAAGTATATAAATGTGATGATAAATATATGAATATACCGTTAGTTAAGATTTAAAACACTTTTGTTTAAAATAATACATGATAGTAAATTCTTAAATAAAATTAAGTAAAATAAACAAACCTAGAAATTACTAACATTTTTTCATATGAAGAAAATCAAATTGTACCCTAAAAAATAAAAATAATATATATTACAAAATGACATTTCACTTGGTAGTTGAATTATGTTTTTTAATCGATTTTGTGATTTTTATTTCTTTTTAAAGCTTTTTTGATTTCTGATTTTCTTCTACCAATTTGATTTTGTTTCTAATTCTTGGTATGATATGAAAACTTTATAAAAATGTTAATATTTGACTAAACTAAAGATCCGACTTTACGTGTGGTGTTTTCACCTCAGTTTCATTAATTCATAATCAATCACCGTATTTGTTGTTATTGTGTACCAAAACCTCAACAATGACCAACTTTGGCAAGGTACGAAACTTTCAATTTCTACAAACAAGTTTATCGCAACATTTTAGTTGATGCGAATCTTAATAATTTTGTATTTTTTTACAATAAAGATATTATTCATTAGTTTCACGTAGAAAGTTTTAATTTATTAATACAAATGCTAAAAATGTAAGAAAAATGAATTAATTAAAAATAGTATAAAAATACATTAAATAATGAATTTGAAATATTAGTGTGCGAACGCATTAATTGCCAAATGATTATGAGAGTGACGCGTGTCAATTACGGCATGAACGCATTTATTACAATACTTCTCTTTTAATATATAAGATATATTTTTTAATACAAAAAAAAATTACATTTACATATATGATCGAACTTTAAGAGGTAAGTGTAATAAAGCAATTATAGTTAAATGTGTTATAAACTATTTATGTGGATGTTCATAAGACCATAAACCCATATTCTAAAATGTTCTGAACCATAGCTATGTACTCCTATATATATGTACTGTTGTATATGGAATTATAATGCAGATTCTCTTTTTCTCTTAATTCACAACACGTTATCAGCATGAAACTCTAACCGTCGTCTCATATTGACACGAAACAGCCCTAGTCTTCTGAGCATCGACCGAGCATAAACACTAGCCAGCGAATATATTAAATCGAGTTCGTGTTTGTTCTTTGCGACGTCTCTAAAGTGATCAAGAACACAAATATATAAAACGGTTTCTTTGTTTTATTTATCTTCCTTAGCTTCTTGTTTCCTATGAGATCATCCTTACACTTTGATCTCCGTATATATAGGTAATAGAACCTTAACTTCTCCTATTACATATTGATCTAGGAATCCTATCTTAACTTATCTTAATCCTAAATCTACTAGTATTTAGTTATTCAATCTTTCCTTTTATGAATAACTTGCATCCTAAGCTTCCACTTGAAGCTTATCCAACATTCTCCCTTCTAAGCTTCAAGCCTTTTTCTTGAACTTGAATCAAGTCTCTCATCTCCTTGAACTTGATCTTAGCTAAAGCTTTGGTTAGAATGTCTGCCTTTTGCTTTGTGCCGGGTACATGCTCCACATCTATCAAGCCTCGTTCCATGCACTCCCTAATGAGATGAAACCGCTTATGAATGTGCTTACTTCTCCGGTGAAACACTGGGTTCTTAGCCAAGGCAATGGCCGACTTATTATCAACCCTTATCACTGTCTTCTCTTCTTTTCTTCCAGTTACTTCACTCATAAGCTCTTGCAGCCATATAGCCTGTTTCGTAGCTTCTGTCACTGCCATGTATTCAGCTTCACATGATGACAAAGCTACTACTTCCTGTTTCTGAGAGCACCAGCTGATAGGAGCTTCACCGACGCAAAATATATAACCCGTTGTGCTCCTTCCATCATCCGGGTCTGTGTTGTGACTGCTGTCACTGTATCCGATGAGTTGCTGCATCTTCCCTTGCTTGTACTCCAGCCCATAGCTTAACGTTCCCTTAAGATATCTTAAGATTTGCTTCAATGCGTTCCCGTGTGATTCTCGAGGTGAGTGCATGTACCTGCTTAGAATTCCAACCGAGAATGTCATATCTGGTCTTGTATGCATTAGATACCTTAAGCATCCTATCCTTCTTCGATACTGAGTGGCATTTATCTCAGCTTCGGTTTCAGACTTTGAAAATTGCAGACCAAACTCCATAGGAATATGAGTTAGGTTACAATGATCCATGCCTGCTTCTTCTAGGACACGTCTTGCGTAAGCTTCCTGGTTTATAATGATACCATTCGGTCTTTGTTTAACTTCAATCCTGAGATAGTATGTAAGTAACCCGAGATCAGACATCTCAAACTCTTTAGCCATTGCTTCTTTGAACTCTTTAACAGCTGATGTTGAGTTCCCTGTTACGAATAAGTCATCGACATAAGTTGCAACGATGAGCAGGAGTTTTCCTTCTTGTTTGCGGTAGACTGAACATTCCTTTGTGCATCTTGAGAAGCCGAGACCTTTTAGTATCTTGTCCAGCTTTGTATTCCAAGCACGCGGCGCTTGTCTCAACCCATATAAGGCTTTATATAGTTTGAAAACTTTATGTTCTTCTCCCTTCTTTTCAAACCCTTCCGGTTGAGACACATAGACTTCTTCACTTAGTTCACCATACAAGAATGCTGTTTTCACATCTAGATGGTGAATTTCCCAACCATTAGCTGATGAGAGACTAATCAGAAGTCTTATAGTCTCTATCCGAGCTACTGGTGCGAATGCTTCTTCAAAATCTATGCCAAGTTCTTGTACATACCCTTTCGCAACAAGTCGTGCTTTGAACTTGTTTATCGTACCATCAGCATTCTTCTTTACCTTGAAGATCCATTTAAATCCAATGATCTTGACTCCATGTGGTTTTTCAACCAGCTTCCATGTCTTGTTTTTATTGATTGACTCTATCTCTTCTTTACATGCTTTTATCCAACGAACATATCTCTTGGCTTCTTGATACGTTGATGGTTCATCGTCGATAGATAACAGTAGCATGACTCCTTCAATCTCGGCAAGCAATACATAATCCTCTAGATATTTAGGTGTATTTACCTGTCGAGATGACCTTCTCGGACCTGTCTCATTGATTGGCTCTGTTTCCTCTGTTTCTTCTGTTTCTTCTGTTTCTTCAGTTTCTTCTGTTTCTTCAGTTTCTTCTGTTTCATTTTGATGTTGATTTTCTTCTTCTTCCGTGATATCAACATGTTCCTGTGAGTCAACAGTATATGAACCATTACCATCATCGAGACTTAAGCCCCACGTCATGCTAAAGTTTCCAGACTCAGTCTCTTCTTGCTCATGCTCTCCCTTCCAGTTCCAGCATGCTTCTTCATTAAATACAACATCACGACTTACTACAATCCTCTTAGTACTAGGATTGTAGAGTCGATAGGCTTTTGAACCAGGTTCAATGCCTAGATGTATTAATGCAACAGACCTATCATCTAGTTTCTTTGTTGATGTTGAATCAATCTTCGCATGAGCAATGCAACCAAATACCCGTATGTGTCCAATACCTGGTTTTCTCCCTTTTAAACTTTCATAAGGAGTTTGATCTTTCAACGCTCGAGTATGAACACGATTTATCAAATAAGTTGCATGACGCACGGCTTCTCCCCACATGTAGTTCGGTATTTTCATGGCTTTTAACATGCTTCGAGTCATCTCCATTAGAGTTCGATTCCTTCTTTCAACGACTCCGTTCTGTTGAGGAGTGTATGGAGCTGTTAGATGTCTCTTGATCCCACTTATATTGCAGAACTCATGAAATTCACTTGATGTGAACTCCCCTCCTCTATCTGTTTGGAGTGTTAATATGCTCTTGTTAACTTCCTTTTCTACAAGAGACTTGAACATTTTGAATTTCTCCAGTGCTTCGCTTTTATTCTTGAGCAAGATGAACCACATATACCTTGTGCAATCGTCAATAATGACGAATATGTATCTATTCTGTGACAAGGTTGCTGGACTTATCGGTCCACATAGATCAGCATGCAATAACTCCAGTGCATTGGATGATCTATACGTTGTAGATGAAGGGAAGGGTTGTCGGGTTTGTTTACCGACTAGACATGAATCACATATCTTTTTCTCTTCTG